CCATCGGTGATCGGTCCTGTGGGAACAATGCTCCGTCCTCTCGAGGACGCGTGGTCAATGGTCTAACCGCTAAGGCATGCAAAACATAAGAGTACGCCCCTCCCCTCCCCCCCTTGTGTTTGCCATCGGGGTTGGGCGTTGGTCGCTCGGCAACGACGTTGTAGAACAAGCCGATCACTTGGTGAGCTCGGCAACCAGGGATACCGCTATGTTTTTGGCCCCTTTTTTGGCGGTAACCACAATGGTGGTCGAGTACATCATGTTGTGCGGGGTCGAGAACCCTCACTCCGCGCAAGGGGGATGATCGCACCACGTTGTGTTAAATTGGTAAAGTATCCTCGAGGCAGTCACTCAGTGCTTATACAGTAATTGTCTCCGTAAGTGAACGCACCAGAAAAAAAGTCATACGCCGCTGTCATCCGCATGCAAAGAAGTGGGCACACGATGCCGAGCATCCTTAGCAGGATGCAGCGCACCCTTCATGCGACTCGCCGAATATCTCACGGCGCTTCGCGCTTGGTGATGTGAGAGCCTGGTCCGGTGAGAACCCGGCGTGCTCCGTCCCGGCTTTGTAGGGATGCGAGGTCAATGGTCTAACGACTAGGGCATGCACGACAATGAGTACCCGCCCCCCACCCCCACTTGTCTCCGGCATCACAATATTTGCGGACCGCCCTTTTCAACTACAGATGGCGCCCGCACTTAAGAACCTCTAGTTTCGGCCGAGGCTGGGGTTCTTTTAGTGCTGATCATCCTCTTGTGAGCTACAAATGGCCGCTATATAGGTTTTAGTGTGGGGTTCTTATTCGAGCTCACAAATGGTGCTCAAGTTCATTCTTTGCGAGTCTCAATGTCTTAACTGCTAATTTCTCAAGTGCGGGCATTATCTGTACATATCCTATTCAACAAGCGCACCTCTTGCTATCCTTCCCGGAGTTTCCTTTTCGTTTCTTGGGCGGCTGGCCGTCGCCTCCCCCACCCCCCCCAACGCCGCCGCCGTCCGCCGTGCGAGCCTTGTCCTTCTTCTTCTTCTTCTTCGGCAGCTGCTGCTGCTGCTGTTGCGACAATGCCTGCTTGTCTTTCGCACCGCCGCTGCCGCCGCCGCCAACCCCCGGAGTGTTGCGGCCTTCGGCGGTGCCCCCAGCGGCCTGATCCCACCCGGCAGCGTTTGCGGTGCTGTTCTGGATGGTGCTCCCGCTTTGGCTACGCTTCCGTTTTAGGGCGCTCAGCTTGGAGGCGACGATGCTCTCGAGCTCCTCCGTTTGCTGGCCAATCAAATCGTTTTGAGATGTTGATTGATACAGATGTACAAGCGTCGAGCAAGAAGCGCGCCAAGTGAAGACATTTATCTACTACTACGACCCCCTGGTCAACATACTAAAACCTTGACAACGGGAACAGGAGTACACAGAAAACAACACGAGAGAGAGGGTGGGCGAAAAAAAATCCTCACCATGCGGCCATGCGCCACCCTCGGCCTACACCAAGCGGACGTATCGTCCAGGTGATGGTTTACTTGCCACAAACTCTCTGCCTCCGCGGCACACAAGAAGATCGTTCCATAGTAATGGGGAGGGCGAGGTCGGGAAGCACATTCTCAGTCTGGCCTTCTCGGATATCGTACATGCATGTTGTTTGTACATTGTTTGGAAAACACACATAAAAACAGACAAATGAGGAAATACTACCCAGTTGGAGATATCTCCACAGCCCACAGCAGTCGAAGCATAGCTTCCACCCATTGTACTGCTGTATGCACACCGAGGGGTTACGTACAAGGTTAGGCCGCTTGCGGCACATGTGGACATGTGGGAGGATAAAACACGAAACTACGAAACTTGCATGCCGCCGGTGTACTTTCTTTAAACCTAGACCCATCTCCCCGTCACGTGTCCTCGACCACTCACGTTGACGGCGTCGCGGTATATGGCGTGGAGCTTCAAGCACTTGTCCTCGGTAAGATGGTGCGGGTACGGTCCAAGCGGTACTTCGAAGAAAGAAGAACGAGTTCGGTCGGTACACGGACGTAATGATGTAATGATAATGATGTGAAAGGGGCGACAACACAGGCCCGATGACAGCGAAGAAGTTACTGAATTTAGCGGCGGCGTTGGGCATCCGAATGGGTTTTTGGCCAACGACATATTACGCGCGTCTATCTCGCTGGGTTTCGTCCGCTTTTACCCTCATGCAAGCGTCCTGGACGATATACCATATCGACTCAAGATAACACACCCCCTTGACCATTTTTCGAAGCTCGATTTCTCAACAGCAGGAACAGCCACAGCGCTGACAACGGCGGCGTTAAAACCGTCTTGTCGAGAGCTTTTCGAATATGTATCATTTCGTTTATGCATCGTCTTCGCCGTGGAGTAATCGAGCTTTGAAAATTGGTCCAGGGGGTGTGTTATCTTGTGTCATATACCGTAGTCTAGTCTGCAGGAGGTGTTGCAGCCTGTGATGTTCAACGCGTCGCTCCAGTCGACATACAGAGTCAATGTCCACTCACGGAAGGCTTTGAGCTTGGCAGTTTCATGGTCGAAAGGAGTGGCCCACTTGGTCAGTAGAGCAGAGGGAAGCCCGGACATAGCGTCTCGGCGGTCCCAAACAACTACACTGCTCTCGAGAACACTTGACGCTGTGCTGTCGTCAACTGCTCGACTGCTCCGACAGTAGGGGCGACGCCGAATAACTTTCTTGCGCAGCGGGGTGGGCCGGGGCATCCGCACGACCAACATCCGACGACGACGTCGGACATCTTCCACACGCGTCGCCTACACTTGCGCACTCCGCAGCTGCCCTCCCGGTTGCTCGTTCGATGAGGAATCTGGCCTACGCCTGGATGATAGTGGCATCGCTCTCGCAGTCATTCCGCCGGAACATGGCTTCCTACGCTGCAGGTACCACGCGCTATGCCGTTCGGCTACTAGCGCCGGCGGAAGGGCCAGTGTTAGGCGTCGCCACGCGTAACGCCAAAGCTTCGGCTGTCAGCGCATACGAGGTGTTGCAGGAGCCGGTCGGAGCTCCTTTTGACGGACTTCAGGTGCGTGTTGCAAGAGCACCCAGAGCAGGATGCGTGGCGGGAGATTCTCTAGGTGCAACAGGAGTCGTTCGTGCCAAATAGCGTTGTTGGTGTGTGAGTTCGGGCCGTGAGAGCAGGCCTGATGCAACGGCCGTCGGCAAGAGGTTCTCGCTGGCTGCCGCCGCCGTTGTGGCACGTGGCGTAGTGTGCTGCTGCTGCTGCCCTGCATTCGAAGGTTGGTGATAACTCCGGAATATTCCGCATAACAGCAAAGACAGCAGCAGTGCGCTGGTACCGCGGTAGCATTGTCGACAAGGGCGACCGACGACGACGTCGACGGAGCGACTGCGGCGCGATCGAACAAGGCGGCCAAGGACGCCCGACCGACCGACCCAACCGTACCCAACGGCGCCGAACGACGAAGCGACGGCGGCGCGATCGACAGCGGCGACCTGACCCCAACCCAACCCAACTCAACCCAACCCGATATGGTCGGGCGAAGACGAACCCACTATCAGTGCAAGAAACAACCAACCTCCACGCCTGCTCCCACGTGACCCGACTGCAACATGCAATAGGCGACACTTAAACCAACACGACCCACGGTGAAGACCTCCAAACGAAAGAACCACGCACCAACGCGCAGAAGTACTCCGCCACAAACATGTAGATAGAGGTGATGCCCAACCCTAACAACACCCAAGTCGTAGTACAGCAGCAAATAGTAGTGGTCCCGGTATAATGCCGGTCGAATAGTGCAGGTGATATCGGCTCGACCGGCCGTAGCCCGGAATGTAACAACGCCGGTATCAGCATCACGGCAAATGCCACTACAATATATAGTGCCGGTTCGAGGGCCCTCTGGTCCGCGAATAATGCCGGTTCTCAAGAAGAATCTCAAGCGTAAAGGCCTCAAGGACTCAAAGCAAGCCTAGCATCCAGCTTCCCATTCACCCCCCTCTACTGTGGTTGTACTCGGTACTCGTCGTGTAGTCTTTCTGTGATTTCATGAATATAGCTGTGTAGAATACCTTTGCTCGCGCACACAGCGCACACCAACACACACAACACACAGAATTTTGCGGCCTTTTACGGAAGAACAAGCTGGTGATTATCGCGGCGCATGCCTCAATGCTAATAGCCCGACAGGCAGACATAGCTGGCTGTCTACTTTCAAAAAGATGTGATAGCAAGGGCCGCAACGCAATGCTGCTAAGTTTGAATATGGTTCAGCACCACTAGTAGTGGGCGGTTCATGTTGCTGCTTCAGCAGCAGGTACGGGTTTTGTCCCAACATGGTGTTTGAGTTGTAGATTCATGTGTCGATTTTGATATCACCTACAGGAACTGACATAGTATATTTGTCGGTTATGGCGTGGTACAGCAGTACTGTGTCAACAATCTGGTTGGAGGGGTCATGTAATGTAGGCGACACCAGTTAGGAAGGGTTTGTGCACAGACGCTGCTGTGTACATACAATACATAAAGAGGTGCTGCAGCAGACCCAAAGAAGTAATGAGTGTTGAGCCACGGCCCATCAATGCACGCGCCTCTGAATAATGCTCGACCGCGGCAGACTTTCCAAACCTCCAGTTCACCCAGTCGTGCTACCACTCCTTCCTGCTAACCACAGCTGTTTACGGCTTCTCTGCGGATCCAACACTACTAACGCAGGTTTGCGTCTGGGTAGATTCGATGATCGAAGGGCAAGACACGGCTTCCAGATCAGGACCCTTCTGTTTCGAGGGGCTGCAACAACAGCTCCCCATCAACGGCTTGGAAGTGGGGTCGCATAGGTACGTGCGGGTACCCCCGACGCGCCCGCCCCTGCCGTTGGCGAAGATCCTTTTCACTGGCCCAAGGTCTTTATGCCTTTCACGTGTGCCAATCGTTCAGAGAATACTGAAGATGTTATGCGGCTTCGGCGTAGATCTTCACCCTGACCACCATCTTATGCTTGACACTTGTGCCAATCGTTCGGAGTGCACCCCCCCCCCCCCCCCCCCCCCCCCCCCCCCCCCCCCCCCCCCCCCCCCCCCCCCCCCCCCCCNTGCCAATCGTTCGGAGTGCCCCCCCCCCCCCGCCCCCCCCCCGGTGTTTGCCATCGGGGTTAGGTTTTCGTCACTTGGCAGGGATGTTGTAAAACAAACCGATCACTTCGTGACCTCGGCAACCAGGTTAACGCTTTTTTTTGCCTTTTTTTTTGCCTTTTTTTTTGCGGTATCCATGTATGGTGGTCGAGTACATTTTGTTGTGCGGGGTCGAGAACCCTCACTCCGCGCAATGGAATATTCTTTTTTTTTGTGACGTTGTGTTAATTTGGTCAAGCACCCTCGAGGTAGTTGGACAGTGCTTACAATTGTCTCTGGAAGTGAACGCACCAGAAAATAAGTTAAGTCATACTCAGCTATCACCCGTAGTTAGCATAAGATGCCGAACACCCTTAGCAGGATGCAGCGCACCTTCATGCGCCTCGCCGAATACCTCACGGCACTTCGCGCTTGGTGATGTGAGCGCCTGGCCCGGTGAGAACCAGGCGTGCTCCGTCCCGGCTTTGTAGGGATGCGAGGTCAATGGTCTAACGACTACGGCATGCACGACTCGGCTTTGTAGGAATGCGAGGTCAACGGTCTAACGACTACGGCATGCACGACTACGAGTACCTCCCCACCCCCCCTTCTACCCCACGCCCAACCTTGACATTTTCCCATTCGCCGTCTAGGTTATCGGCAGCCGTCGTGGCCCCAATCCAGGACGGCCCAACGCAGCAGATATCGGAGGTCACCACGGCGCAGATCGATGTAGTTCTGCAGGAAGATTTTGCCCCTTCCTACAAGTGGCAGCAGGTCTACCCCTGGCAGAGCGTGCCGCCCGGGCTCGAAGTCCAGCTCCCCCTTGACGGCGTGGGGCAGAAACGGGCGCGCGTGCCGCCCTCCTGGAGACTGCAGCTGTACGTTCCGGAGGAGAGCGGGGGCGGGTTCTTTGTGAGGACGGACTTGCGGGCGGGGAGCACGGTGCTCGAGCTGCGGCGAGAAATAGCGCGGCAGCCGAGGTTCGGGGGGGGGGGCGTCGAGCGCGTGAGGCTTTCGCTAGGGGGGAGGGTGCTGGGGGACGAGGAGACGGCTGAGGGGTTGGACCTGTTCAACCGCCAGAGGGAGCTCGTCGCATTGGTCGACCGGAGGCCAGACACGCGGCCGCCGTGAGTTTTTCGTTTTGGATCATGCTGCCACCTCCTGGAATCATGCGGTTGGTCCTATGTAGCCCGTTGTTGATAATACGTTGTTGTTGGTGTGTGTCGTGAACGAGCGCGCGGTCTGTTTATTTGAAAGTGGCCTTGTTGAGCATAGGCGGTGCACTGTAATTCCCATTCGCCGACATGGGTGGTGGTACTTCCGCACGTTGCGAAGATGTGGCCCCGGAGACAACTCAGCCCTCGCCAGGGCATTCGTATACGTTAATGTTGGGTCACTGCTGCGTTGTCAATTGCACCACACCGGAGGAGCTTGTGGTAGCACGGTGTGGAGGTAGGTGGGGGAATTGGGGGATAGATGTAAATCACCAATATTCCAAGAACGCATACGTGACTGTTCCGCTCGTGCTATTTGTGAAGTTGTTGCCTGCGTTGTGCTAGAACGAACGTGGGGCATGTATGAAATGTATCAATGCCTTTGGTTTGACCCCCACGAATACTCTTATGGTATTTTTCAGTGTTATTTGGCCAGAGCAGGAAACAATCTTGGCCGGTCCTTGACAAGACATCCCACAGCAACATGTGAATGACCTCTGAAGTATTGGGAAAGTAGTGGGTGGGTTTCCTCTGTAATGTGGTTTTGGCGAGAACGAAACCCGAGCCGCGTACTGCGTCGGAACTGGCAAAGTTTTCCACTCGATGAATATTTTTGTAGAGTGATATGCATGATGCATAGATACGGCGGAGATATTGCTTATCATCACGTCAGTACAGATTGAAATGGGTTTGTCGAAATGGGAGTACATGTTTACTGATGAGGATAGGGCTTGAGATGTGTTAAATCTTTCGCGCCATTAGTGCTCTGCTCCGTGCTCGATACGGATCCCTTCAGAAGTGAAATCGGCATGATGACAGGATACTTTCATGCGTAGGTTCAGGGTCCGCTAAGTTGAGTTGGTGCGCCCACAGGACGGATTGCATAGATAGTTGGCCGAGAACAGCAGCAGTGGTTGGGCGTGTAAGGCGCAAAAGTTTGGGACGGTCCAAATAATTGTTCATGTTCATGAGCCGTATGAACGGTTGAGTGAAGCGAACATAAGTCGCGCGGTGTTTATCTTCATTTTTTTTGTTCCTCCCATGCCCTTGTTCCCTTTGGCGGTGCTTCCGTGCGTGTCTGTGTTTTTAATGTTGGGCTTGTTGGGGTATTTGTGTTGTGCATGAACGACTCTATTCTGCTGTGTGGGTTTTTCCCCGGTATTGTGAAGGCGTGTTTCCAAGTCTTTGACCGTCAGGTGAAGACAGCTTGGGCGCCTCTGTGTGGATAATAAATCACTGTGTTTCTCTACCCAAGCCTCCGTCACATACGCCAGCCACACCATACAACAGCCGTTGTCGTGCTGTTAGGTCTTGAGCCTCGCGCGGGAGGGGAACTGACACGAGTCACATGGCGTCCGCAGCTCCCATCACAAATCCCATGCAACGTGGGTTTGTGCCTTTTGATCGTGATGATGCGAGCTTCCCTGGATGGTTCACTCTCACACGGGTCTTGATGCATAAGTCTGGCCTCGGAAAGATAATGTTGGGAACAGAACAACGTCCTGAAGCTCTGACGGGAGATGAAGCCCCGGACGAACGGGCGGCGCATGCCACTGCGATGGAGAAATTCGCAGAGAGAAATGGCGAGCTGTACATGCGGCTTCTGATGTCGATATCCGACGGCGCAAAAGGGTTCTCCCGCGCGGCATCACAGGTGATACAGCGGTACTGACCGATTGGAGATGCTGAGTATGGCGATGGTCGTGCTGCCTTCGTAGCGCTAGAGAAGTACAAGGGGGCGGGTCCGTATCGGATGAAGCAGCTGCACGCCCAACTGGCATCCGTCCAGCAAGCAAGCGACGAATATTTTGATCCGTCGCGCGCGATCCAGGAGTTGCGCCGCAGTTCTACCGAGTTGGGTTCTCTCGGTGATATTGTGATATTGTCGTCGACTCGCGGCTGTCCAACGCTTTGCATGACGCTCTCTCGGACAGCCACTACAGCGAACTGAAGACTGCGTTGCTGTGTGAGTCGCAGAGGTCGGCTGAGGGTTAGGTTGATTTCGAAGAACTCGCCCGGTCGCTCCGGTGGTCTAGTGGTATCCTCGTAATCCGCTAGTCGCAGAGGTCGTGAGTTCGAATCCCCATGGGGTGAAAAATTTACGAAATTTGCCGTTGAAAGCGAAATATAGCGAAAAGCTCTCGTGAGTACCAAACTTCGACGTTAGCACCGTTGACGAGGGAAAGGGACGGCTGGACCCTTTTCGCGATAAAAATAAAATCCAGCACGCACCGCAGGAGGAAGGTGGGGCATGAACAGAAATAAAAGGAAGAAAAAAGCCCTGGTGCTTACCCCTCCTGTGTTTGTTGTTGTTGTTTGTTGTCCTGTGTGACCCTGGATGGTTGTAGTTGTACGAAAAAATACACTGAAAGTGTAGTACACGTCTCACCACGAAAAATGGGGGGACTACTGTCGCCATGATAAACAGGACGAAAACACACAACACACACTCGCGCTCCATGCTACACCACTTCATGCAATGCGAATCCGGGGGAAAGACTCTGGCCACGTTGATGGGGCAGGCAGTTATGGTAGGGCTTTGAACACTGTCACGCACGGAGGAGCCCGTGCCTTCAGCAAGCAAGGGGGGCGCGGTGGACGTGGCGGACGTGGTCGTCGAGGAAATGGCGGCCAAACTACGAATGGTTCGACGGGCGGCGGTTCGTCGAACGGGAACAACGGAGGTGCATCGACACACGGAGAAAGCGCGGGAAATGCGCAAGGCAGACGCGGCAATGGTCGCGGTAGCCAAGCTTCCGGTGGAAACGGTCGAGGACGGGGCCAGGACAATGGTTAAAACTCGAAGGGCTTGTGCAGGTACTGCCACAACTCCAAAGAGCACGGGTGGCACAACTTCCCGCTTCGCCTTTCGCAGGAGGTGGAAGAAGCCAAGGAACAGGATTCTCATGCCACGCAGGAGTCGACCACGCAGGCGTGGTTTACGCGGATCGAGGGACCCAGCAGCCAGCTGGAGGACTTCGCGGTTGTTATCGGAGATGACACGAAGGTGCAGACGGAGCCTTATGACTACATGCGGGTTCAAAAGGCACCTGTTGCGGCGCTGCCGGAAACGCGCGCCGCCAACAACCCGCAGGCGCAGAAGGTGCCTGGTGCGGCGCAGCTAGAGGAGCGCGCAGCTGGAGTTGTGCAGGTGCAGGACGTGCCTGCCACGGTGCTGCGTGATGAGCGCGCCGCTGGTGATGTGCCGGTGCAGGCGGTGCTTGTGGCAACGACTTACCTTCAGGCGGAGGAGGCGTCTGATGGAACAGAGTAAGTCGCGTACACCAACGTGTTTCAAGTGGAACAGGTGAATCCCTCCGCTGTTGGAGACACGACTGTATACATCGATTCTGCCGCTTCTAGCCACATGATATGCACCGAGTCCCGCCTGACCAAACATTTTCGTGATCCGGTGGACTGCGCCGTGCGTATCATCGGGTCGTGTGGTACCTCAAATGCAACCAAGAAAGGCACGGCGGTAACACGGTGGTACCGGTAGCGGTGGAAGTTCTGCCGGTTCGCAACCTAGGGGCTAACATCTTGTCGGTTCTAGTTGGAGCTTAGGTCGAGAAGGGGGTGATGTGTGATCTATTGTCGATCCCGCCGGCACTTTGCCATGGCAACCATGTTTTCCCCGTCTCGACGGCGGTGCGGCGGATGTACGTCGTGAACGTCATCGTTGACGACGTCAATCTTGACGCCGCCGAGGTGTACCGCACCAAGGTCGACGCTGATATGTGGCATCGTAGAATGGGTCATTGCCACCCACGTGCTCTGCAGCAGCTGGCGGACAAAGCGACAACCGGAGTGAAGTTCAACCGGAACATCCAAGCAGGTGACTGCGGGGCTTGCGCGGTTGGCGACAGCAAGAAAGGTAGCCACCCCCCGTCGAAACGCACTCGAGCCACGCCTCGGCTAGAGATTCTGAGCGCCAATGTGTGGGGGCCGCACCCTGTCAAGTCGTCCGGCGGTTGCCAGAGTGCCGTTATGTTTACTGATGACCTCTCTCGCATGAGGTTTGGCTTTCTCCTGAAGACGAAAAATGGGGTGGCGGAGTCGCTCCAAGAGTTTATCCACAATGAAGCGGATCCTTTGGGGACCTGCATCGGCAAGGTGCACTGCGATGGCGGAGCAGAGTTCAAGGGCAGGTTCCAAGCGTTGAGTGATTCCATGGGGATCAAGGTCGATAATAGTCCTCCCTACGTCCCGCAAGGGAACGCCATCGCTGAACNTGGCTTTCTCCTGAAGACGAAAAATGGGGTGGCGGAGTCGCTCCAAGAGTTTATCCACAATGAAGCGGATCCTTTGGGGACCTGCATCGGCAAGGTGCACTGCGATGGCGGAGCAGAGTTCAAGGGCAGGTTCCAAGCGTTGAGTGATTCCATGGGGATCAAGGTCGATAATAGTCCTCCCTACGTCCCGCAAGGGAACGCCATCGCTGAACGTGGATTTGGCACCATCATCGGAACGGCGCGCAAGCTACTCCTGGGAGCACCGCACCTTCCAGGCCATCTGTGGGGCGAAGCATTCCATACAGCTATCTACCTCAGGAATCGCACACCTACGGAGGTTCTGGGCGGAAAGGCCCCACTTGAGGTATGGGAGGGGAAACCGCTCGGTGACATGTCGCACATCCACGAATGGGGCTCGGTGGCCTATAAGAATGAGGAAGCGCGATTCCGGAACACCAAGCTGTCAGCTAGGGCCAAGAAGATGTATCATGTGGGGTACAACACTAAAAATAGGACATACAGGCTGTGGGAACCAGCGGAGCCCCTCAAGATCACCGTTAGATATACTCGCAGCAGTATCTGGTCGTGAGGATCCCGGGGGGATACGTGTTGGGAATTTCGTGTGCTGAAGGGTACCACCGGCGCAGTCACGGGGACTTTNGGTACAACACTAAAAATAGGACATACAGGCTGTGGGAACCAGCGGAGCCCCTCAAGATCACCGTTAGATATACTCGCAGCAGTATCTGGTCGTGAGGATCCCGGGGGGATACGTGTTGGGAATTTCGTGTGCTGAAGGGTACCACCGGCGCAGTCACGGGGACTTTTTGGGCGTGGTCGGTGCGATGATGAGGCTTGCGTGCGTGCTGCGCACTTCTTCTTCTTCTTCTTCTTCCCTCTCTCTCCACCACCACCACCATCTCTCTCCAATCAAGTTCCCTTCTCCCACTCTCTCTCCAACTCTCTCTCAACCTCTCTCTCTCGGCCTAACACGGCTGACTACCCAGTGCCCCAAAGCAACGTCCAGAACGTGCTTGCTGCACCCCGCGTAGTTTACCTTTCACACTAGTTTGCCGATATCACGGTATCTGCGCGCGGGCGTAGCCTTCCGAGGGTTGTGCAGTCACGCGCAATCGGTAGACCCCCACAACAACATAAACCACGGAGGGCATCGACCTCTCCGCCCTTAGCGGGGAAGAGCTACAGCAATAAGTGGAGGAGATCGTCCAGCAACGAGTACAAGCCGAACTCGAAGCCAACAGGATCAACGAGGGTGAAGTCACCTACGGCCAACCACCATCAGCCGGCAACCCAGTCCCACCTACTGGCAGCCAGCCATCACCCTCCAGCCAGGGTAAAACAGCTACCTTCAACCACCCCAGTAGCGTCGCACACATCGTGGCGCAAGCGGCCAAGGCAACAGCTGAGGCCATCGCTGACCAACAGGGCTTTGCCCGCTCAGGCACGTTACGTGTCAATCCTGGCTCAGAAGTAGAACCTTGGCTTGGTAGCGTGAAGAATGAGCAGGACTTGTATATTATGTTTGATATTTTTCGTAGTAAGATGATTTCATATTTTCAGGAGGAGGGTGTGCATGATGCGTTGGAACTGNNNNGTAAGATGATTTCATATTTTCAGGAGGAGGGTGTGCATGATGCGTTGGAACTGAGGTCGAGGTCAAGATCGGGAAGGGGGGTGTGAATATAGGAGACCTTCGGAGACTTTTTGGGAATGAAGTGGTAGACAAGTCTTTCAAACTGTGGGATATCCTGATTACCAAGGTTTTGTATCCCCCGATTCAGAGCTTGATTCTGGCGTGTGAGAGTCCCCAAAAGGGCTGGAAAATCGTGACAGAATTCTATCAGGAGAAACAGCTGTCAGAAAAGTCGAGGTTGCAGCAGGACTGGGAGGAGTTGGAAATGAGAGTGTCCGAGAGTCCACAGGATTACATTGCCCGCTCAGAGGCCCTTCGCCTGCGTCTCGCATCTGTAGGCACGATTAAGGATGAAACAGATGCCAACAAAGACATTGCTCGTGGCCTTCCCTCTTCGTT